AGCCGTGCTGGTACGCAGTGATGAGGCGGAGGAGGACCGGGTTGCAGAGCGTCGCGTCCATCAAGCAGATGTCAAAGTGGCCGAGATTGCACACGCTACTGCCGGCGGATTGTTCTTGGATGTGATTGGTTGGATGGCAATACGAAAGACGTTCATTCCTGTCGCGAGCGCCAACATATATAGGTATATATATGAACGTGTTTCGCGTTATCTTCGTTGTTACAAAGAGTTTGCATACGTAGAGACTAGCCATCTCCTTCTTCTTTATTCACTCGCCAGGCCGTGGGTGCGCAGGCACGGCGCGGGGCTAGTCTTGCTCTTCTGTGGTCGTCCGGGGGCGCTTGTGGCCGCGGGTGAGGCCCATGACGACTCGACGAGCGCCAACATGGATCAATAATCCAAGCAAGGGAATGAATTGGATCCCAAGCTAGCGAACAAGCGAGTTCATGGTCTGTCTCGTAGCCTATTACGTTGCTAAGACTCTAGCATTCTAGTCTGTGCACCTCGACGGCCGCTTGCGTTAATGACGTGCTTATCTCGGACGCATTTCCCGGCTTGTGTGCGGCCGATGCCATTATTATGGGCCCCAGTATCGCGGCATCCACATCACGACGTCACGCCTTTTCATACGGTGGAGTTGAAAGGGGTCCCTACTGAACTTCCGGTAGAGAATCGCGACTCGATAATGCAGTCGGACGTTTTTGTTTTCATTGGCGAAGTATGTACACAAGGAGGTGAGGGTGATTGACGTAACACATCACAATTGTCGGCGTGTTCTGCTCGAAACTTCACGTAGCCAAAGCAGATGAGGCTCTTGGTGAGGCTGTGTTGTCGTGATGCGACTCGTGGTACGACGCCACTCGACACTCCGTTTGATACGCCACGTACTCGGCGAGCGCAACAAACCGCCGCACGTGGGAGTTACCGCGGAGGGCGCCCACGACATTGACACCAATCGAATCGAGATACAAGAGGACGTCGGTCGAGCTATGTCGCAGGGCCGACGGCGCAACCGTCGGCGTCACTTCCACAACCTCGCAGAGATACCGCACGACCTCGAGATGCTCTCGCCCGACGGCTTCGTCCAGCGCAGCAGGCGAGCACCCGTCGCTTCGGTGCGTATGCAAATAGGCCACGAGGTCGCAGTTGCCAGAGGCCGCGGCAGCGTCCATAACACTCCGTGTCCATTCACCAAGTTCTTGTTCGTGGAGGTAGCGGACGACCTCCAAATGGCCTTCACGCGCCGCGCGCTTCGGCGCGTCGTCGAGGATGGGTGCCTTCATGACGCTGTGCAGATAGCGCACCACGGCAACATGGCCGCGCTCGGCTGCCTGCGCCAAGGCATGAATAGAGGCCATTTGGTCGCAGTGCTCGTGCAAGAAGATGATGACGTCCAGATGCCCGAGGCTGGCAGCACCGTTCATCGCACGCTCCGTACAGCCTTCGTTTCGGTGGGTCTTGAGGAACTGGACGACTGCCAGATGGCCGTTGGTTGCCGCCATATCCATGGCCATATGGGAGCACGTAAAGTGCCCGGCGTTGTGCAGCCAAGTCACAAGATCCAGTCGACCAAACTTCGCACATGTGTCCATGTACTCGTGGGACCAGAGCTGGAGCGGATGCAATAGTTCAATGATGGCATTGTTGCCGCCCGTGAAGGCGGCGACGATGACGGATATGGGAAGCAAGTTGTCGGGGTGCGAAGCGCGCTCGTATGCGAGCAGTCGTTGACAGCACTCAAAGTGACCGCGCCACGCAGCCAGCTCCAGCGCTTCGACTGACGAGATCCCATTAGCCAAAATGTATTCGACGACGTCGTCATGGCCGAGCGTCGCGGCCAGCTTGAGCGAGTTTTCGAGGTCCATGTCGGGAAAGTGTGCGTGGACCAGCTGCAGTTTCTCGAGAGGCGATCTTGAGGCCGCGAGTTCGAGGGACGGCACACGACCAATCCCGCGTTCGGCGAGGTACGTCGCGACTTTCTTGTGACCATGTCTCACAGCAATATCGTATGCGTCGTGTGGCCACAGCACGGTGGTTGCTCGGACAAAAAAGTGAACGGTTGGGAGGTGGCCGTCCGCAACGACGCTTTTCATGTACGTCTGCAATTCGTGCGGCCCGCGCTCTTCGTAGAGCTGTTGCACGACATGTACGCCTCGGCTCTGAAGCGCCATTCGCGTCGAGAGACGCAAGTCGTCATTGTCTTCAAAGCGGTCGTACTGGCCGTAGTGCGACGCCACTTTGCGCACCATCGCGGCCCATGACGAGGCGTCACCACTGGTGCCCATGGCAGCCGCACGCAACGGGTGGTCGCCGGTTGCCGCCGCATGCAGCGCAACGCACGGAGCCAGCGGCGGGTAGAGTTGCATGAGGCCAATGGCGCCGTCGAGGCCATGACGCGCCAGCCACGGCGCGAACCGGTCGCCGAACGCTGCGACTTGCTCCGTGAGATTGGACGACGCAAAGATGAGCGGGTCGTCGCGGAAGCCGAGACTGTCGGGCCACCAGCCGTGCTGGTACGCAGTGATGAGGCGGAGGA